CTGAAATAATCAATGGACGTATGTCGATGATAAAATCACGATGTCAGGAACATAATGTCAATAAATTTATATTATGATTTTGCGAAGTTAGGTTATTTCACTGTTTATTTTTTTTTCATTTTATTTAATTGTTTGAGTGATACCTTAATAATGATCTTAGTGTGGAGTTTTTGTTAAAAAAAAAAACAGATAAGAGTAGAATATCTTAAGACAGGTAAACCAAAAACCAAAGTATTATTCGAAAACAACTTAACCTGCTTTAACATAACCTAACTATTCATCTTTCAAATATGATCGATCATCCAACATGAAAACATCGTCTATCTTTGTCGAATACATGCAAATTAGCAATACAGTCTGTTTAGACAATAAAATTTTGTTTATCTCTGTCTAACATATCAGAAACTTCATTAAAAATATTCACAAATCGCTGTCGTTTGTCTTTACTACTGACTAAAATGATGACGTAATCGTCATCTTTCGTGATTTCGACTATATTTCTCATATAAATCATGTAACTAAAAATTGTTTTACTGTTTTACAGCATCTGTACTTAAATAAAGAAATACTTGATTTTAGATACAAGAAAATATATGAATCTTTAATAATATCAAAAATCTAGATTCAGTTTCAGCTAAACGTCTGCAAAAAATTCAAAAATCATGTTGTAGATTGATTTTCAACTTAAGAAAGTATGATCATATTAGTTCATGTTTCGAACAGCTGAACTGGTTGAATGATGCAAAATTGTATAAGATTTATGCTCAAATATGAAACCCCCACTATATTCATCCATATTTCTGCATATTGTATAAATTGTTTTTAGTTTTTTCTTTCTTTTTAAACATGTGTACGTTGTATTCAATATGTAATTTTTGTTTAAATTTTGAAAGAAAATCTTGTTAAAATTGTTATCAATATTCTAGTGCTAGTTATCTTCAAGGGTTAAATGGTAGATTAGCTTGTAGCTAAACTTCGCCTGAATAAAAGTCGTTTATGAATATTAATCACTCCATCCAGTTGTTGTTATTAAATGTTCATCAAATTAAATTTTTAGGGGGAGGTGAAAAATGGCCTAATCCTCTTGCCTTTCACAATTTTGTCTATTTTATGCTATGTATTTACATTCCAATAAAAATTATATTTATTATTGTTATTAGTATATTTATTTTTATTAATAGTTGGCAGAAACATTGTTGCTGCTAAGATGAATCGTTGCAGAACACTGTCGTTGATATTTTGAGATGAATGGGAAACCAAACACTTACTAAAGATATTTTTACGACTGAAGAAAAAATAGTCAACCTGGCTAATCTAAAGCTTTTACAATATCAATATTCACTGGATGATCTTATTCTAGATATGTGGCATAATCTAGAAGTTGTCCAAATTATCGCTGATGTCGTAAACGTACATAAGTACCTACTGGTACACGTGTGGTGCTCCAAAAACAGGTGACTAGATTAGAAAAATCTGGAATTAGCTTTTTCACCGCCTCCTCCTTAATTTAATCACCTGCAGTTGTGTTTGAACAAATTCCAACAATTATCACTTAACGGCCAGTTGGCTGTTCCCCTCGCTGAAAAATCTGCCCAACAAGCCGTGACCCCGCATTGCGTTATGCGATGCTCATCTGGGCATGTAAACATGGCCAACTATCTGGTAAATGTGATATACCATGCTATGTTTATCACGTTCACTAAAATTATATGGTTGGCTCGCCGCAGTATTTGACATGCCGGAAAGCGCATACGACTGATGGCGCGAAAAGTTGTTGTGGACTGACAGGCGCAGATTAGCTGTGTTAAGCTCGAAAAAGTACTTTGATGGCTGATTGAATAATTAACCATAGCGAGATAAAGGCGACAAGCTGGAATTTTGAGACAAGGTTGAGTTCAAATTTATTTTACATCTTTGTCGTGTTGCATCTGTGAACATTCATATGAAAAACATTATGCTTATTTTTAGCTACAAAAAATAGTTGCAAGACCCGCACTTTTGTAGAGCATCCTTTCTGAAACATTTTCACTAAATATTTGTTCCCCTTCCAATTTTTCGGAGTATTGTATTGTATGTAAATTAAATCAAATATAAAGTAAAGTCATAGCGCAACGTGGCCTATGAGGTTTGTATCCTTTTATAGTAATTCGTTTTCTATACAATTATATTGGTATGATGTTCACATTTGACAGCCGGGTCACCTCTGTGGCCGCTAGATGCCGTCGATTCTGGTGTTACAGTAGATGCAGTCTACTCGTCATTGAACAAACTAGTAACATGGCTGTCTCGTGCTATTTGTCAGCTCATCAGCATTGTCTAGGCTTTCAAATAGCACGAAACAGTGATCCATGGTTGGCCGTCTGTGATCCGATGAACGAGAGCTATATTACTAGTTTATAGCAGTACTTACTGACATTTCTTCTCTCTAAAAACCTGTCCGGTATGAGACACCATTACTCCTTATTATCACGTTCTAACATTTCCAATCCGTTCGTTATGGCGATTTGCATTCTGTCCATATTTATACGCTTCCTACTGTCATCAGAACGATAACTGATTGCGACTCTCTTACCGTTCTTATAAACCTTCTCTTTGCTGATACGTCTAGAGACGAGATTGTTTCCTTCAGCTGGCGAACGGTATGCGTTTTTTCGTTTGAATCAGAGCGGAGTTCCTTTCCGTGTTTCATTATTTATACGCTGTTAATTACTAGGATGTCATTTTATGTTATTGAGCTAGGTAGTTTTTATTGCGAATGAAGTTTTTCAAATATACTCGTAGATACCATCTATGCAAAACTGCGGGTGAGGTGGAGAGAAGAAAGAATAATAACGACATTCAATCTGATCAAAGACTTGCAGGTCTCGAAGTTACATCACAGTGGCCATGCTCATACCATACGTAGCCAAGTGCTTAATGTTCTCTAACTTACTCCTTCTTAAAATAAACATGTTTACTCGATCGTCGTTTAGTTTCGCTTGTCGCTGCCTGTTGAGGCATTTATGGCCCGCTGGCCAATAAGAGCGCGCTAATTTGAACATGTCACGCTGGTGATTTTTTTGGAATGGCTTAAATGAGATTTAAGTGTACTTGAGATAGTCATAGACCACCGTAGTTCAGTGCGTAAATGCTGTTCTGTGCTCATACCTACGAGGGATGTCTCTTAACACGTTGGCTGCTCACCAACAATTATATAGATGTCACTGGTGCGGCATTGTCAAATGCTTTTATTTGACATTTTTTAAGCATAAATTAGTTGAAACTACAATTAAAAATAGTTTTTTCTTTAAATTTACAGAAAAAAAAGACACGACGCACAGGTGGCGGCATGAGCACTGCGCACTATTTATTCTTGCTAGGTGCTCAATGACGCACATGTGTCGTCAATAATAACTATCCTTCAGACATCTTTATTTACTATATATTTTGCACAAAATATAAAAGCAAATAATAAATGACTATAATTAAAAAACAAAATCATACTTCCCTGAACTTAACATTCAAATAATAAAAAATATATTCTTTATATAACATAAATTATAAACAGCAAATTAAAACAAAATAAAACAAACCTATATATCATTTTATTTTAGATTTTCGTGGAATTCCTTGAAACAAGGTTCTAGACATAGTCCTGGTAAATCTGGACACGATTTACAAAAGTACATGGCATCTTTGCGAACACCACGTTTTGAACAGCAGCGACACCTCTTCCGCTGTCTTCTATTATTTTAACTCCTTGCTTCACATTTTGATGGAAGATGTTGAGTTGATGGTTCCTTCCCACTGGTCTGGTTCTGAATTGCGCTATCTGGAATATCTGGAAGCAGTGCTTCTATGACTGACTCTCTATAATCTAACAATGACATCTTCTGCCCAGAATATTTGTTGTAAAGCATCTAAGAATTATGGAGCATCATCTCGCAAATATGTAGACCCACTTTTTTGTACCATCTAATTGTCTTTCTATGTGAGGGATAATAAGACTGCATTTGGTCTTGCAGGTCTATGCCAGACATATATTTGTTATATTGCACTACAGGAGTTGGTTTACTTTTTTTATTACCAGATCTAGAAGTCACTTCTTCAAATGTGTTTTCATGTTCTGTTGTGATATATAGCACCTCCCTTTTGTCTTTCCACTTACCCACACACACATTTGCCCCATAACGATAGATAGATTCACCTGTTTTCAGTTTAGATGTACTTACTTCCTTAGGGGTATCCTTTCTTCCAGCGCGCAACGTTCCCGTACAAAAGATTTTATTTTCCAGTAACTGACGTGCAAGCGATACAGAGTTATAGAAATTATCCATGTACACACTATATCCATTATTACAGTAATTATCCAACAGATTGAGAACAACATTTGCAGCGTGTCCTTTACCACCTAAATCGTCAAAAACACCACAATAAATCTGTATTTTTAAAATAGTTCCGTCACATTCGGTAAGTAGGTAAAACTTTATGCCATACTTGTGCTTTTTGTTTTTTATATATTGACGAAACAGAAGCCGCCCGCGCCAAAGAAGCATGGATTCGTCGATAGACAGGTTTTTTCCTGGCAAATAAATTATCGACATTTTCTTGTTGAAGAAATCCAGCAAAGGGCGAACCTTGTATAATCTATCACTTGGAGCTGCTCCCCCAGCTCGAGGGTTCTCGGCAAAATGAAGACATCGCAATATAATTAGATATCTGTCTCTGCTTATGAACTTCCTGATCCTAAAGTTGTATAAACGGTCGGTACGCCAATAGTCCCTAAATCTTGGTAGCTGGAGTATACCCAAATAAAATGTCATTCCTAAAAATATTGACATTTCTTCTTTATTGACTGGTTTCCAACGGCTAATCCTGGAATGGGGCCCTTGACAATCATTCAGCAACACAATTTCTGCGTAACTGTTACTTTCTCGGACCAGTAGTTCAAAAAAATTATCGTCCACGAGGAGGAAAAAAAAATCGATGGGCCTCCTTCTATCAGGTAAGTACTGGTACATTCAATCGTTGCTGCCCAGTAAACATATTTTTTTTAATTGCGGAGGGCCCTCTGTCCACATTTCGCTCAATGAAGGGACTTCCGCCTCATCATTTGAATGCCCGGAGTCGCTTTCCAAGGAGTTTACTGCCTCTTCGATTATATCTTCTGCACCACTCCATTCACTTCCGGAGTCTTCAAATGGTTCGTCGTCTAAGCAATCCTCAGAAAGATATGCCAATTGACGTAGTTCTTCGTCGTTTAGATTTCTAGGATCCCTAAACCTTAATCTTTTCGATACTGAAGGTCCCGGAATGGGATTTTCCGCCATTGCAAAATTAATGTACTAAATTCCGAACCACGTGTGAATTTTTAAGGTTAGAACACTAAGCAACATGCTCCTACTAAAGTAAAAGGCACACTGAGGCGCGCTTCGCTTATAACTATATTTAACTACAACAGGGACTACGCCGACAAGGTTGCGGCGTGAGCACTCGCATACATATTCTTATGCCGCCACGTTGTCGGCGTGAGCAGCGAACGTGTTAAGTTTTGTATATAGAAATATAGTAGGCCGCGCGGATCGAACGTCAGTACTGAATCTTAACCTCACTCCCTAGTAAACTTAAATTCAAAGTTTCACAACAATACGTGCAGTGTTCTCACTATAGTGAATTTTTAAGTGTCACCAAGTCATTAGAAAAACGGAACTCAACCGGGAACATTTTCGCGCCATAATTTCTCACAACTTTCGGAGGCAATTATCGCAACAAGAATGCCTTGCTGAGTTACTGTCTGTTTTCGGCAACGAAGCTCCACATCAGTCGAAAATTTTCCATTGGTATGGAGAATTCAAACATGGACGGGTGAATCTTAGCGACGATCCCAGGGTGGGTGCACCAAAAACGGCAGTCATCCAGGAAAACGTCGATGATGTGCGCAAACTCATCATTGAAGATAGACATGTGACATATCGAGAGATTGAGGCGTCCTTGATGAACTCAAAGACCTCAATTCAAAAAATTTTACATGAAGAATTAGGAGTAAGAAAATTAGTTTCTTGTTGGATACCCCACCTGTTGACCGAAGAGCAGAAAGCAGCCGGGGTTAATTGGTGTCAAAAAACGCTTGGTGATGAATCGTGGATTTACTGTTATGAACCAGAAAATAAACGACAGTTGGCTGTTTGAGTGTTTCAAGGTGAAGAAAAGCCAACAGAAGTCATCCGTTCTCGAAGTGTTCCGAAAAAGATGGTCGCGACATTTGTCAAAAGCGGGACATATTGCAACAATTCCTCTTAATGAGCAAATAACTGTTACTGCGGATTGGTATACCACCACTTGTTTGCCAAAAGTCATCACCGAGCTTCGAAAAATCAACCCCGAAGGAGGAATCATCCTCCACCAAGACAATGCAAGCTCGCACACAGCCCAAAAAACGAGGCAGTATTTAACGGAAGAAAACGTGGAATTATTGGACCATCCTCCATATAGCCCCGATCTAAGTCCTAAAGATTTCTTTACTTTCCCGAAAATTAAAAACAGACTGCGTGGTCAAAGGCTCCAGTCATCAGAAGAAGCAGTTGACGCATTCAAAAATGCCGTTTTGGATCTGCCACCAAACGAATGGAATAAGTGCGTCGAAAATTGGTTCGAGCGCATGCAGATGTGTATTAATCTTCGTGGAGAATATTTCGAAAAACAATAAAGACATTTAAAACTACCTACCGTGTTGTTTTATTTCCATATGCAAAACTTAAAAGACATCCCTCGTACATGGCCAATGTCATACGAAATAAGTAATCAGAGACTAGCCGTACCATGTGCGGAGCTTGACTTCCCTAAGGGTAATTACACACTGGGCAAGCCAAACCTTGACGCAGGTGCTATTTGCTCTCGTTCGCACATGAATTGGATGATAGAGGCCCGTCGCTTTCATTCTAGTTATTAAAATACTTCAAATACAAACTGTTGACATTGTAGATGTATCTTCAGACATCTACAAAAGGTAAACTCATATCGCACGCTCATGACAAGCAAGTTGTCGTATTGACAATGATAAACACAAATGTGCAACTCACACGCTGACGTGAACCTTTTCAAGGCTGCAAGGAAAAACTGAAGAAATGTTTGTCTACATAAACAAATGTTCGCGCATAGAGGCCGATTGCATACGTGCATGTGTGAGGGAGATGGACTTATGAGACTATTCCCCTCGTCTTAATTTCTACCAATCACAAACGCGCAATTTTGAATTACAAATGGTTTCTAGATAGAAAAATTGTATGACAGTACGTGTCAGCAGTTTTTTCGAGCTCACCCGCGGTAAAACTTGACAGCTGTTGTCACTAAAAATTACAATGCCTTTGACAACAAGTAATTATGGTCTGGACACCAGCAGACGACGCAAAACATTTTTTTTGATTTTATTGTCAATAAATTTTGTAAGCTATGTGTATGCAGAATAATCTGTTACTCATGAAATAGTCTTGTCAAATACCATTCGGGTATCTCTTTTTTCTGTGAAAAAATCGAAAAAGCACAATGCAAAGTGATATTTTTTTAACCAAAAAAATTCGTGCATCTCCAAAAATCGTCGTCTTCGACTCGAATTTTTGTTGCCACCAGCACTCATGATTCTTCTTAAAATATTACTTAGCATCGTGTTTATTAATAATTAGATGCCCTTATGATATTACTTATGAGTAATTACGGTAGTTTTACGATAAACCATCAAAAATCATAAAAAGAACTGAGCAACAGTGCACAGTCCCAAGTCTATATCACATTCATATGCGGATGGTAATCTGGTTTTCATACCAATATATCAAAATAATTTGCTCCTCTGAGTTATCTTCCATGACGCCTCCGTGCTTTAAGCTTACTGGAAAAACCTTTCTGGGTTCTGCTTCTGATTTTAAATTGATCAAGCTCTTTAAATTGGGAACTGGCCTGTATGTTCCTAAGGCATCGAGGATGTAGAACAATTTGTCAGAGGAGGCTTTCCTCAGATCTGATAATCTGGGTTTTCGAATATTCGTATTCGCCGATCACGTGATAATAGCTCCACCTAGCGGATATTGAATAGAAATATTTGTGTTCGATACGTGCAAAATATACATAAACTAGATATGTATGGAAGTGACAGTCACTTGAGGTAGATGAACAATTTGAATTTTAAACTGGCAACCCTGGAGCCAGAAGAAACTTCGACAATGCTGTTCGCGCTGTGAAAACTACACCAAAACTTGACGTCTGGACTACCAACGGTGCTTTGATAGAGTTGGCATGTTAGGGCATTTTCCTCTAAATTTGGTGGATTTTTACTTGAGGAATCTTTTGAACCAAACCTTCTCCTTTCCACTAATTAACTGTGATTTGGGAGATTTTTTTTGAAAATGTATCAGTTCTGACGAATGTTTGTGCTTGTTCTGGTAAAATTTGGCATTCGGCAACGCTGTGCTTTCTAAGAGCCAATCGTTTGAATCTGCACGTATCTGTTTTGTATTCTGAACCTTATGAGTGATAAATAATAGTGGCATAGATTACCGCCTCTACCACGCAACCATGTTCTAACATTATTTATCATTCTTAAAAATTAAGTTTTATAAAAAAAAAACAGAAAACAGATACCTGCGGATTCAAGCGGTTGTATCTTATACTACAAGCTCAGACCCCCTGCGCATTTACAGTAGCTGGTACTAGCTACGAACTCTTTGGATCTGAAAGATCCTAACAGCGAAATACTTGCACTTTTGCGAGGCCTTAGTTGACCTCACGTTGCACATTTCGCAATAGAGACCACGCTTATATGCTACTACCTTCCGACGATGTTTCTCTTTTTGTCCACCGCCTGCACCTCGCTTCAAGCGAATAAACATATGTATATGGAGAAGAAAACTCGATTACCTCGTATTTGTTCTAATCCCGCAACGTTGAATATTGTGGAGGAGCAATAAAACCTCAAGTTCACAAATTACTAGCAACGCGCCGTTTTGCTTCCTAGGTGCAGTTACTCTTACAACTAATCGATGACGATCAAGCTACATTATACTCGTAGCTTCGGATTTATAGCGTAAATCATTCCACAAAGCATAATTATTATGTATCCGAGATATTTTACGCTCTGTCACCTCTGGAATATACAGAGTAGTGCGATTTCCGTGACAGGAGGAAAACTGTAGCGTAGACAGCGACAGCCTATGCTAGGATGATTTAAACCTGTTGCTGGATTTTTAACTATTAATTAAATACATGTACACTTATAGCTTATCTTAGTGACTCTCAAAACAAAACGAAAGGCGAAATAACTTCCTCTCTTACTGAAACACAGTGGCGCGGTCATATGGATCATTTAGGAAATAAAATTTTCTTCGTATTTAGATTTACATAGTTTCTCAGAGCATCATTATTTATATATTTTGAGAGACCAATTTTCCATGTAGATTAAAAGCATACAAACCTATGATTTGTTCAGCTTGAACGCTTAAGGTCGCTAAGAAAAATGGCGTCGATTAGATTGACCCTGTAGTTTCTACGCAACGCTGTCATCAGTGCATGAAGGACTATGCTCAGCAGTCTGAAAAAGAGGTTGGGTCTAGAACACGTTTAACAAAAAGCTGAATGGATCAAGTCAGTCAAACCGGCGGCCACGGTAGCCATCCATCGGCTAGGCCGCGACGCGTGTTTATCCAAAGACGCATACGTTGAAAGTATTTCTCTATCGTCCCAAGCTCTTTAAGGGAAATCTATGATGTGTAAATATACTATCGCCAACAAATTCAGATATGCTCTTTCCCACCCCCTCCAACCCCGAATATCCAGTTTTTAACCCTTACTATATTTTTTCTGAAAATGAGCAGGGTTTTCTGAAATGTCAAAGAACGACCGAACAATGTTTATTTCTTTCGCGTTTGCCGCTTTTCACTAGACCAGTTTTCAAAATTTCACCAAAATAAGAGCGGTATTTTTCAAGTAACAGACAGACCGAAAATATATGGCTAATAATTATATACAATTGAAGACAAGTGGATAAAGGTATCATGTAGCAAAATCATTGTATGGAGAAAATCAACATTAAACATTTTTTACTTTTTACTTTATTGACATTTTAAATATTTAGTTTAATTAGTTTGTTATTATCTTGTTTTTGCAATAAAGTAATCACAGAATAAAAGAATCCCTCCTTAAGGTTATTTAAAAAAAGCAATTCTAAAAAAAATGTTACCTGACACATTTATGACACAAGTGGGTCTGCAATTGAGATATACTCTACCCCTTTGCCTGCTGCCCACCCCAATGCATCCAATTTTTATTACTCATAACCTTAAAA